GCAAAGTGCTTTGAGCTCACGATTGCTCCAGCAGAGGGTGGTCGAACGAGCCCGCGTCCAAAAAGCGAAACGAGAGGTAGCATTATAAATTGTTTTTTCACAAGCTACCTCGTCCAAAGATGTCATCCAAGAAGCTGACGGATGAACAAATACAGGTGTTAAGACATGAAGCCTCATTTACCACAGCTGATATCAGACCTGCCAACGTGGTTGCTGCAGTAGAATCAATTCTCGACCACACAGAAGCGATAGACGAAACGAAAAACCTCATACGTCCCCAAGTGTCTTCCCTCCTCATGGCACATCGACTACGTGACGCTCTCTCCAAAGTCAAACTTAAAGAACCCAGAGCCGACAGTGATCTCGTTATCGTGACGGCGGACATGGGGCGGTCCACTGTCGTATTGGACAGGACATACTACATTCACAAAGCTCTAACTTTGTTAGAGCATCGTCAGTCCTCCGTCCCATGCAAATCCAACTTTATGAAAACGCTGACATGCGAGATTAAAACAACGCTCCTGGCCGTGGAGAATTCAGGCGCAATATCGCCAATCGACTGACGCATGGCGAGAGCGCAACGAGGTGCACAACGAGGGTGCACCCCTCCGCCCAATCATAGCTCTCAAAGGAACTCCAACCTATGGACTGGCAAGGTGGCTGTTCCGACGGCTCAAATTCTAGACCGCTGATTCAGACAAAACAGTCAGGAGGTCAACACAATTGTTGGAGAAACGTAAAGGGGTTAGCCTCCACCCAAACGATATCAAGACTATCCAACTCTTCCTACGGGAGAAATACGATGAAACGGAGAACTTACTCGGGAACGCCTGAATCCTCCAGTTTCTAAAGTTCTGCCTCAAGACGTACTTCATCTTCAACGTAACTATCTACGAGCAGGTGGAGGGCACGCCAAATGGGTTCGCTCATTTCCGAACTCATAGCAAAGGCTGTCCTGCAACGGTTGGAGTCGCGGGTTTGCCAACAACACAGATCAAAATTATGGGCTAGGTATGTGGACGACACCTTCGTCGTAATTGATCGGGAGCAGGTGCTGACTTTCAAGGAACATCGAAACGCCTTCTTCTCGTTGATTCATTTTACCATGGAGGAAGAAGTGAACAACCAGCTGACCTTCCTGAATGCCCTCGATTGTCGCAAAGATGGTGGCGTCCTAAAAACTAAAGTGTTCAGGAAAACAACCAACACTATGCAAA